TGGGTCCAGACTAGCCCGATCTCATCAGGTCTTGGAAGCGAAGCAGGGTTGGCCCTGGTTAGTACTTAGATGGGAGGCCACCAAAGTTGACCAGGATCACTCCACAGAGACAAGTAATGGCAATAAAATAAAATAAATAGAAATAAAATAACCCTGCAAATGACTGACAGCTACTCTCAACATTCATGCCCTCCTGAAGACTTTTCAGTCCTCATCAGACCATTTGCCGTATTCTTCTGCATATGTGTGGGGGTAGGAGATGTTCCTGAGTAGGTAAAGGCCCCTACATTTCCTGTGGGTGGCCTGGCTAGAGATGTGAAGGCCCGGAAAAAAACCGGAAAAATTCAGGAAAAAAACGGTTTTTTTCCTGAAGCCTATTTTTGTTTTTTTCCAAAAAATTGGAAAAATTGAAAAAAGAAAATAAAATAAAAAAATTGATTATGGAACGTTTTATTTTAACATGATGAATAAAATATTTTAAGACCAAGTGTTCAAATATTTTCCAAATCATTTCTAAAATATATATATATATGGTATCAGATTGATGTAATTTCTGTGCACTGAGGACAAGCAAGTCCTAGGTTACACACTGAACTCTCCAATGAAAGAACAAGATGCATTTCTTCCTTTAGGAGGTGCGATTGTCAGAAGAAAATAAAAAAGTGTCAGTTTTGTTTTTGCATGTAGGTGGTATTCTGTAATAATTGTTTGGATACACTATATTTTTAATATGCTAGTTGTGATAATTTCATGCCAAGTAAAAATGACTTTCAAACTAGAAAAGACAAAAGAAATGCTAATGTAGCATTTTTTTCAATTTTTCCAAAAATTTCCATTTCCCGAGCTTCAAAATTTCCGGAAATTTTACATCTCTAGGCCTGGCTTTGCAGCGTTGGTACCCCCCCGCCGCTGGCTCAGTATGTTTGCTATTAAAGGCATAGAAATGAGAGACAAGAGAGGACTCACAGGAGGGGAAAATCCTATATTCCCTTGCTAGCTCCCTTCCCCACACTATTGATCTTTCTTCCCCCTTGCCTCTGCTCACTCCATTTGATCCAGATCCTGCTCCCCCCCCCTGCACTGGACCCTATTTTCCCTCTCCCGCATTACATTTTTTCTGCTTCCTTCTACCTACATTTACCACTTCATTTCCATCACCTCAGCTGCTGCATTCCCATGCACCCACTCCTAGGTATTCTTCCCCCGTAGCAGCATGGGGCATCCACTCCTGGGTATCCTTCCCCCTCTCTCACCATGGCCTTTCCTAGCCCCTGTCCTGGGTCCCTTTGTCTCCGGGGAGGCTATGCTACATCAAGCGCCATTTGTAGTTAACAGCCCCATGTCACTGAACATCAGTCTCCCTTCTGCTAGAATGCGTATGAGTGCAAAAATATCACTTTTTTACATTTTCAAGGCTTATAACCACTCCTTTCATATTATTCTGCAAACCTGGTCGTTACTCCAGATTTGCAGAAACATAAACCTTAGCATTGAGTGGCCCACTCATGCAGATTTTTTGATCCTCGTGGTGGAGCCACCCATTGCTATTAGATTTGACTCAAATGCAAAGCTTGTCCCCCCACCCAGATATACCACCAAGTAAAAAGAGGGGGGCATCTTACATTTGCATATCTAAAGAAGTGAGCAGTGACTCACGAAAGCTCATACCCTACCACGAATTTTGTTAGTCTTTAAAGTGCTACTGGACTCTTACTCTTTTCTACAGTTACAGAAAGACTAACCCGGCTACCCATCTTGATCTATTTGCATACAAGTTACAGTTATATCCAGTAATACATTTCTGTGCTTGTATATAACACTTTTTTGTCCTATCAACCTGGATAGCTGATCTCATCAGATCTCAGAAGCTAAGCATGGCTGGCCCTGGTTAGTGCTTGGATGGGAAACTACCAAGGAAGTCCAGGGTTGCTACACAGAGGCAGGTGATAGCAAACCAGCTCTGCTAACTCACTTGCCTTGAAAACCCTATGGGTTCACCATAAGTCAGCAGTGACTTGACGGCAAAAAAACCAACCACAACACAAGATAACACTTTTAAGGGGGCCATCTTATATTGCAGGTAATTTCTGTTTGGAGTAAATATAGATATATGATAAGCTAACTGTCCACCTTCCATCTATTAACCTAATGTTCTGCCGCATGCCAGTGAAACCAAGACAGACGGTGCAGGAGGAGGTAAACAGACAGAAACAGGCTGGATTTTCAAGGGCTGGGGTCAAGGCAAGGCAGAATGCAGGGATAAGCCGCTCTCCAATAGCATCTCCTCTTAGGTGAATGACTCCCATTCATTCCTGTGTGGATCAGTAAAAGGCTCCTCCCCCCTGCAAGGACTCAGAGTCCCTGCTAATATATACCTCCTGCCCTCCGCATGCACCTTCCCAATGCAATGTTCCCTCTAAGCTGTGGAGTCCTGTGAGCAAAAATTCTACTTTGTGAGCTGCTGGCATTAAGGTTGTGAGCGAGCAATTTGGCTGCTGCATAAATTAGTTTGCTCTGGAGCCATCCTTCCTGAGCTGAGAAAAAATGTGTGAGCCGGAGGCTAAAAAACTGTGAGCTGGCTCACACTGACTCAGCTTAGAGGGAACACTGCTTGGGAGCAAAAATTCTACTTTGTGAGCTGCTGGCATTAAAGTTGTGAGTGAGCGATTTGGCTGCTGCATAAATTGGTTTGCTCTGGAGCCATCCTTCCTGAGGCAAGGCAAAAATGTGTGAGCCGGAGGTAAAAAATGGTGAGCTAGCTCACACTAACTCAGCTTAGAGGGCTTCCCACCCTAATGACCAGCCTTTTGCCTGTAATAGGACTACAGCTCAGGAAAAATCGTGGAGTCAATCCTGTGCCCCTAAATTCTTCACATCCATCACTGGAACCGTCCTGTAAGACTGAGCTGCATTATTATACAGCAGTTGTGTGTGTGGATGGGGGTGGGGGGATTTGTTGTGGCTGCACGTCACCTTGTGAGTTTTTGGGTGAGCTAAGATTTGAAATGCTCATGCTCTGTGCAATACCACTTCTCAGCCACAAAACATACGAAGGAGGGAGTGATTATGAACATGCACAGAGTGCTTTCCTGTCATTCCCAAGCTAGCCATGGCCGCCTGTCTGCCTGGGGTTGCAGGAAGGGTTCCCCGTCAAGGCGTGGAAGGCGAGATTCCTTAGGGCAGTGGTGGCGAACCTATGGCACGGGTGCCAGAGGTGGCACTCAGAGCCCACTCTGTGAGCACGCGTGCCATCGCCCCAGCCAAGCCTAGACCATCATTACAGTGTCGGATTCTCTGCCAAATAATTTGAAGTAAATGAAAGCATTTGGGATTGCTTTCTTTACTTTGTTTGGATCATCTTAAGTTAATGTATGAGTTGTTTTTTCTAAAGTAAAACTTCAGTATTCAGGTTAAATTGCCATGTTGGCACTTTGCAATAAATAAGTGGGTTTTGGGTCGCAGTTTGGGCACTCGGTCTCTAAAAGGCTCGCCACCACTGCCTTAGGGCATCGACTCCTTAGAGCATTCCTAAGGCTTGGTGGGAACAGGAGGCTTTATGTTGCACCGCTAAGTCTCCGGCGGCACCCCCTCCCAGCCCCCCAGCTCACGGCTGGAGAGCCCCAACCCTCGCAAAAGGGAAAACTCCCGATCCCTAAGCTCTTGCTTCCATGGAAAGAAAAACATTTATCTCAGCCTTGCAAGAGGAAATGGTGCACGTAGAACCAGTTTCTGCGAGAGAGAGCCAGCGTCACTTCCTTCTGGCCTCGGGTCACAGAGGTCACAGTCTAGTAACAAACTCCTCGGCCAGAAGAGGGTGTGGCAAGCTAAACTTCATTTTTTTAAAAAAGAAGAGACATGTCAGAGCTTATGCCTGCCTCCGCTACAGAAGCCCTTCCCACTAACACCAGGGATTTGGACAGTGGAGTTGCTTACTCTGCGGTGAAAAGGCAGTACTCAGGACATGCTCAGAGGCTCTTTCACTCTTCACAAGTTTTCATACAGGCACAAATTCATCCTTCTTCCCCATCTGTTGTAGAACAGCTTTATAAACCAGTGGGTGCCCCCGGTGCCTTTGTCTTGTCAGGTATTTTGAGAGCACAGGTTAATTTCTCCTGCACCTACGATAGGGGAAAGGGTGGGGCAAAGACACTGTTCCCAAAGTTGTACCCTCTCTTTTTTCCGCAACCCTTCCGTATAATTCCACATAGATGAGGAATAGTCCTGTGGGTGAAGGGGAAGCATCTGGTGGGTCCGAAAGCGGCCACGAAGGATGCCGTCCTACGTGAAGTTCTCAATGCTTTTGGCTCAGCCCCTATTTGCTGTGGGGCTTTTGCAGGGGAATTTCCCAGTGGCTTGTCCCCCAAACTGAAACAGATTTGGAAGGAAAGAGTTTAGGCATCAACATTAATATTTAGCCTTGACACTTCTGCAAAATATGCCTCATGTTTTGTAAATTATTCAGGTGACTGACTTTGACAAGGTTACACTTAACAGTATTGTCAGTGTGGTGAAGTGGTTTGAGGGCTGGGCTAAGATCTGGGGCACCCAGGTTCGAATCCCCACTCTGCAAGGGAAGCTTGCTGGGTGACCTTGGGCCACTCACATGCTCTCAGCCTAACCTACCTTGCAGGGTCATTGTGAGGCTAAAATGGAGAGGAGGAGAACGTAAGCCTCTTTGAGTCCACATTGGGGAGGAAGGGGAGTTATAAATAAAGTAAAATGTTATATTGGCTGCACTCCAAACTCTATTTCGAACACACAAAGCTGCCTCATACTAAACTAGACCATTGGTCTATCAAGGTCACTGTTGTCTACCCAGACTGGTAGTGGCTCTTCAGGGTCACATCACCAACTACTTGATTCTTTTAAATTGGAGATGGCAGGGATTGAACCTGGGACCTTCTGCATGCCAAGCAAAGGCTCTACCACTAAGCCACTGTCCCTCTTTCCCATTTATTGATCTTTTTTTTACAGAACTTCAGGTCAGCTCCACTACTTACTGTTGTTGGACTTCAGGTCGCGGTGGATGACGGGCACAATGGCTTCGCAATGCAGGTACTGCATCCCCTGGGCAATCTGCACGGCCCAGTTGATGAGGATGTGGGGCGGTATCCTCTGTCCAGCCAGCACCCTGCTGAGCGGACCCCCCGCAGCGTATTCCATGACCAGGCACAGGTTGGGCTCCTGCAGGCAGACAGCTTTGAGAGCGATGATGTTGGGGTGCTGCAGCATGGCAAAGAGCCGGGCCTCCTGCCGCACCCGCTCGGCCGTGGTGCTGATGTCCTCATCTGGGTCCTGGCGGGCAGCCTTGACCGCCACCAGCTCTCCACGCCAGCTTCCACGGTAGACCTTGCCAAAGCCCCCGACGCCAATCACTTCCTCTAGCCTCAGGTCGCGGAAGTCGGCCTCAGGTGGGCCCTCAGGCCGGGGGTAGCCCCCCGTCTTGGGCGAGACGTAATTGGAAGGAAAGATGCCCACTTGGTTGTTCACCTTGCCGGCCCACCAGCCTTCATCCCCGGAAATGGCGGCGTCCCACGAAAGGACCTCCACCAAGTCGCCTTTGCGCAGGGTCAGTTCGTCGCTGCTGGCGGCCTCATAGTCAAACAACGCCGTCCAGACAGGGTTGGCATAAGCGGTGGCACCCCCACTGCGTGAGCCTCCCCCCCAGGACACCAGTGGGGCCTTCCGCAACATACTTTTTAGTGGCTCCATGGGGGTCTTCTGGGCCTTGCTGGTCCAGGACACCCGCATCTAAGTCGTCAACATTGCCTTCCACACAATTCCCCACTACTTCCAACTGAGCAGAGACCATGTAGGAGGGATGCCGGGGGAGGGGGCAGGAAGGGAAGTTAGGGCTAGTGCTCCAGGCTGCGGACGGCCCCTCCCATCGGGGAAGCAGGACCCTCCCTCTAGTCTCAGTGAACAGCAGGGGGTTGGAGATTCTCCATTGCCTCCACCAGAGACCGGTTGCCTTCTCCGTCCGCTCTCTTCCAGAGAGAACGGGGTGGGGGGCGCTCCCCGCCGCGTATTTCCTCCCTACGGTAGCCCCTTCCAACCCACGAAGCCAGGCGGATCGCGCCGGCAAAGCCTTGCCTGCCCGCCCTCTTTCTCCAGGAGGAACTCCGCCGCGCTCAGCTTGCCCGTCCCGTCCGGTCCTTCTTGTTCGAAGTCCAGCCGGCTCCGTGGCCGGCGTTCGCCGCGCTCAGTCCACAGCCCCGCGCCTGGAAGGAAGCCGAGAAGCGAGGGAATCGTTTGGGCGGCCGTCCCGTCGAGGGGGCGGCACGGGCAGCGCGGTTGCCCGGCTCAGTCTCTCCGCTCAGTCTCCGGCAAAAGTGCCGGACGGAACGAGGCGGAGAAGGCAGGGCAGGGGCGGGGTTTGAATTCCTCGGCCTGCCCAGGGAAAGGCGGGGCTCTCTCTGGTGTGCCTGGCTGGAACAAAAGCTAAGGCTCAGCCCCGGGACTTGTTTGCTCTGCGGGGGCTGCTCACGGTTGTAGACCTTCGGAGGCGAAACAGGATAGTTGCAAAGGTCTCTTCCACGGCAGGAGCTGATGCAAGGTTGGAGAAGGGCAACGCAAATATCAGAATCCCACAGAATTCTTCGCGGCTCAGTTCCTTGAGAGTCGGTCCCTTGCGCCCACCCAATAAAAGGCAAACTTCTAACAACCCTGGATCTCTTTTCGGATTAAGTGAGCGGCTGCTGCTTGCTGTCAACAGGCGTCTCTGAGCATGTGCCGAGTTTATTCAGTGGAAGACCAGGGGGCAAATATATATAATTAGAAAAGGAGTCTAGTGACAGTTTTTGTGTTCTAGAGCCCTGCTTAGGCTTTAAGGTACCACACTTTGTTGTGGTTATTATTTCGGCTGCAGTAGATCCCTCTGGAATATTTATGATGATGATTAATTATATTTTAAAGATCATTTTCAGGCAAAGTGTTCTACAGTAAACTAAAAAGACAGGGTGGGCCTGCAGATTTATGACCTAATACAGTGATGTGAACTTCAGGACCAGCACAATTAATTTAAATAAGGCACGACCTTGGAACCTATTAAAATAATAATTAACAGATTGATAATGCACCAATTAAATTCACCTGACATCTCTGAACATACCTGGCACACCTCAGGGTGTGCTAAGGAGTCACCACTAATATCCACACAAGATAAGCTTCATGTCAGGAATAAAACCAGTGCCCACACCTCTTCAAAAGTTAGCCATGGAACCCTGGAGAAACCAAAGGATTGGGGAGCAACAACAGTTCTGTAGTCTGGAGAGCCCTGCATAACCTGAAAGCCTGTGTACCTTACTTAGTTCTTCATCTGAAGCCAGCTAAGCAACAACTTCTCCTGCCTGCTCTGGGCAGGGTGCATTTTCCTTCACATTGCAGCCCCCCCACATCTTGTATACGGTAACAGAGCAAGGTTTTCTGCAGGTTTATAACTTTTCTCCCTCCCCACCGTGCTCAGCCCCAGCTCCTTTGTTAGGTGCAAATAATATAAAGTTTGTGGACAGTCTGAGACCCGCTGAGCATTGGCAGCCAATTACAAAGGGGGAATTATGGGAAGATAAGCCATCACTGCCAATGTTCCCGCTAAGCTGTGGAGTCTTGTGAGCAAAAATTCTACTTTGTGAGCTACTGGCATCAAAGCTGCGAGCGAGCGATTTGGCTGCAGCATAAAATAGTTTGCTCTGGAGCCCCATCCTTCCTGAGCGAAGACAAAAATCTGTGAGCCGGAGGCTAAAAACTGTGAGCTAGCTCACACCAACTCAGAGGGAACACTGATCACTGCCCTCTTGGGTTCATTGAGACAGCGGAAAAGCTGCAGCAAGTCACGTGACTGACCTCCTATGTAAGAGCATCTAGGTCAGGCCCAATGCTTTGGTTAGAGCAAGGGCAAAACGATAGTCTCCTAGTGTTGTCCTCCTTATCCTCCAGCTTTGGGTTGGTCAGGAAGACGTAAGCCTCAAACCAAGTCAAACGGTGAAGTGACCATTGGACCACCTAGCTTGGGCTAAGTTGTGAGTGGCACCAGAACTCAGGCCTCATAGGCAGAGAAGGGTCTTTCACAACACCTTCTACTTCAGAACCTTAAATTGGAGGTGCCAGTGACCACATGGGGGGGGGGGGTCTTCAGCAGGGAAAGTGTGTGGTCTGCCACAGCCCCTCTCAAAAATAAAGCCTTATTCTCCCCTTTAAGGCAGGAAGTTACAGGAGAATTCAAACTAGCTTCCTCTTGCAGAGAGATCAGGAAGGAACTTCTCAAGGGCTGCCATGCCTATGAGTGACCCTGGACTCTGTATTACACAAGGCAAGTCTTACCCATTCTCTCAGCTCATGTTCTGTAATCCCAGTCCCACTACATTGTTTATTGGCTGATTTATACTGCCTGGTTGATTTAAAAAAATATTTTGTAATCTGCCTTGCATTTCAGCAATAAGGGCAAGCTATAAGTGAATTATCCAAATCAAATAACTTCTCTGATGCAGTGCCCCCCGCCATACTTGGAACAGCAGGCATGCGCTGGCTCCAGTAACGCTGAACTGCAGGCTGTGGAAGGTCAGTAGTTCAGCAGTTCGAGACCAGTGTGCCGCATGACGGAGTGAGCTCCCATCTCTAGTTCCAGCTCCTGCCAACCTAGCAGTTCGAAAGCAAGAAATTGCAAGTAGATAAATAGGGACCACTTCGGTGGGAAGGTAACAGCGTTCCGTGCGCCTTGGTGCTTAGTCATGCCGGCCACATGACCACGGAAACATCTTCGGACAGCGCCGGCTCTTCGGCTTTGAAACGGAGATGAGCACCGCAACCCTAGAGTCGGATTCGACTGGCTTTCGAGCAAGGGAACCTTTACCTTTACCTTTTTACTAATTACTTAGTGCAGGGGTCCCCAACCTTTTTGAATCTTTGGGGTGATTCTTTTCCGGTTGTTCCTGAGCACTCCATTGGAGTTTTCATAGAATCAAAGAGTTGGAAGGGACCTCCAGGGTCATCTAGTCCAACCCCCTGCTCAATGCAGGGAATTCACAACTACCTTCCTCCTACCCCCAGTGACTGCTGCTCCATGTCCAAAAGATGGCAAAAAACAAAACAAAACCTCCAGGATCCATGGCCATACTGGCCTGGAGAAAATAGTTTCCTGACCCCAAAGTGGTGGTCAGCATTTCCCTGGGCGTGTAAGAAAGCGCCATGAGAACTAAGCACTGATGCAAGGCTTCCTTTTTGAGCACGTCTGATCTGAGCTAAGAGGATCCATGGGCAAAGGAAACATTCTGCATTTTGGGGAGTTGCCCATGCTGGATTACAAGAAAATTTGATACCTCTTACTCCACAAGTGAATATCTCAGTGTCTATTCTTTGTATGGTCAGTTTTCTGTATTTAATCATTAAGTTAATGCTCGGTTTGATTTATATCACTGAGGAAGGTCTTGTGCCGAAATGTGTATTATACTAGTGTAATGTATTCAGAAGCTGTCCTGAATGCATTAAGATGAAATGAAATCATCTCATAGGGAATCTATGCTGAGCTTCGTCTTGGCCAGGGATTCGCGCCAAGACTCATGCGACCAATTACATTCAAACAGACGGGAAGCGGGAACGCTTGTGATTGGACCTTATGCGCTCAACCTGATAGGTTGATATCTGTATAGGAGGTGTGGCTACATTAGCCCGGAATGTTTAAATACCGAGCAGCTGCAATTGAGAAGCTGTTTGGGCTATCGAATGTTGTACCGTGTTGGAGAAGTGATCATCGAGCTGAGTCAACCTGAGTTTTGCTGAAATCACTCTCTGACTATTTGTTAAGCACCAGACTTAACAACTAGTTCTTGCATTAATTAATTGCTATCATTTGGCAGTGGATGTAGGCTAACCAGGAGATCGAAGATTGTCCGGCAGCCTGAAACTCTAGCTCTTTTTGTGGCAAGCTAGATTTATTTTTTCAGCTGTGAGAACTGTGGCTGACCCAAGGTCACCCAGCTGGCTCCAAGTGGAGGAGTGGGGATTCAAACCCAGTTCTCCAGATTAGAGTTCGCCACTCTTAACCACTATACCAAACTAGTTCTTGCGTATGTAGACAATATGTACTTTTAAACCTATATTTTTGTAAATTGATATTTGCCTTGATACTGGGATTAGGTACCTGTATGATGAACCACATGATTGTTGTTTTTAATCATGTGTAAAGCATAAATTTCTGTATGCATTATTAAATTAAATACCAGCATTTTGTATCTTTGTACTATGTTCATAGTTAATTTTAATCTCTTTTTCATTGTTCCAACCTCTTTGGTTACCCTTCTTGCGCAGGGTTGGGTTTTTCTCCCCTTTTTTGGTTGCACCCATCTTGGGAATTCTGACACAGGATGGTGGGCACAGCCCCAAAATGGCTACTGCAGGAGGTGGGGCCAACCCCAAAATGGCCGCTGTGGGAGACAGACAGACAGACACACACACACACACAGGAAGTCCAAATGCAGGGGACAAGAGGCATAATTTTTAAAAATGCACCGGGGAAAAGGAAAGAGGGAATAAAGTAAACACTGTGGCTTGTCTTTTAACAATTTTATTTTAATCTGCACAGCCAATTAGATCTCCACTGGCCAATCAGAAGCCCTGCTGGACAGTAGCCCCACCTGGCTACACCCACTTTCTAAATTCACTTGGCAGGCATCAGAAAAGATGTGAATGGGAGCCTTGGTGCCCTTAGGCATCATATTGAGGACCCCTGATTTAGTGTGTACGTGGTCCTGGCTTATCTTGACTACATCCAAGCCGAAGACCAAACAAGAATGTCACTGAACCTAGTACGCACTTCAGCCCATGTACAATAGGAACCTCAGGGTTACAAATGGCAGCATCCTAAAGGATTAACATACAGGAATCTCCAAAGCACAGAGGCAGATTTTAGCCCAGAAGGTCCCCAACTCCTCCATATGCAGCTGCTGGTGTCACCTTGGGTCAGTCATAAGCTTTTTCAGAGCTGTTCTCTCAAGGGCAGTTCTCTCAGATCTCTCTCAGCCCCACCTACCTCACAGAGTGTCTGTTGTGGGGAGGGGAAGGGAAAGGAGATTTTAAGCCGCTCTGAGGCTCCTTCAGGTGGTGAAGGGCGGTGTATAAATCCAATCTCTTCTTCTTTTTATTTTAACTGTTAAAAAGTGTCTCCAGCTTGTTAATACTGGAGCACATAGCCCAGCAAATAGATTGAAAATATTTGGGCCCTCATATTCTCCATCCAGAAG